GAGAAGGACCTGGGGGTTACAGTAGACCACAAGCTGAATATGAGGCAATAATATGCTTTTGGTTAAAAAAAATGCTAACAGTCTATTGGGTTGTATTAAAAGAAATGTTACTTGCAATCAAGGGAAGTGATTCTTGTTCTTTATTCAAGAATGGTGAGGCTTCATCTGGAGTTCAGTGCCTAGTTTTGGGCCCCAAACTTCAAGAAGGATGTTGACAGACTGCAAAGAGTTGACTGCAGTGTGACAAAAAATTATTAGAGGCCTGGGAAATGCCATTTAAAAAGGCTGAAAGAACTTGGCTTCTTTAGTCTGAAGAAGAGAAGACTGAGGGAGGATTTGATAACAGTCTTCAAATACTTGAAGGGTGATTATAGAGAGGATGGGAATGGGCTTTTCCCTGTAACTGTAGGGGACAGGACTAGGAGCAATGGCCTCAAGCTGCAGCAGAGGAAATTTAGGCTGGAGGTTGGAAGGAACATTCTGACCATTGGGGCAGTCAAGTACTGGAACTGACTACTTAGAGAAATTGTAAAATCTCCATCCTCAGAAATTTTAAAGAGTAGGTTGGATGGACACTTGGTTTGGGTGGTTTAGTCAGGGACAGTCCAGCCTTAACCAGGAAGCTAGATTTAATGACCGCCTCTACTTTCCTAGGATTTTGAGCTGGTCATTGCGACACTCTCTCACAATGTAGATCAGGCTTGTCCAACATGCGGCCCGCCAAGGCATTTTCTGAGGCCTGCAGTGCTGTGATGGGAAATGGAAGTAAACACTGTTTACTTTTGTTCCCACCCCTTGTCCCTCCCCCAGCCCCTCAGCAGCTTTCTAATGGCTGCTGAAGGGCTGGGGAAGGAACAAGGTTCCCACACGCACTGTCAGCTTGACTTTGCCGACGCGGTGCATGTGGGAAGAGGAGTAGCCATGTGCCTCTCGGGACAGGATGAGCCTAGCCAGAGCAGCAGGGCCTCAGCTGCACTTTCCCCCTACCTGCGCTGGTCAGTCCCGAGCGGCACACGGCTCTGCCACCGCCTCTCCTGGCCGGTGCAGACCCGGCTGGGCTCCTCCTGTCGCTAGCAGCATGTGGGAAGCTGACTTCAGCTGCATGCCCCTTTTCCTGGCCGGTGCTGACCCGGCTGTGTCTGTCCCATCTGGAGTAGCATGCGGCTGAAGCCAGCTTCTCGCATGCTACTGGGGATGGGAGGAGGCCAGCCAGGTCTGCACCCGCCATGTGCAGCTCGGGATGGGACGGGACAAGCCCAGCCAGAGCGGCAGGGGCTGAGCTGCATTTTCTCCCTGTCTGCACCAGTCAGTCCCGAGCGGCACACGGCTCCACCGCCACTTCTGCTAGCTGGTGCCCACCTGGCTGGCCTGCTCCAGTCCCCAGCAGCACGTGGGAAGCCAGCACAGGGGGCCTCAGCAGGCGGGGTCCTGGCGTGACCTCCGCAGGGCAAGGCAGCGGGAGCCGGTATCTGCCGGACCCTGCGCTCCAGGCTCGCAGCGCTGAGGCCACTGGGGCTGTGTGCGCGGGCGGCCAGGCACCACGGTGAGCGGGGCCGTGCAGGGAGGCGGGTGAGGGGCTGCGGTGCAGCAGCCGCCTTGCTCCAGCTCCCCTCAGGCAGCGCTGGCTCATGGGGCTGCGCGGCTTGGGAGATGGGGATGTGGAGCTATGTATTTCTCCCCTTCAGTCTCTGGGGCAGTAGCTGGCTAGATGTAGAATGGGTCCCTGCTGCCCCTGCCCACCAGCAGCTACCATGAACCTTGCAGTGACAGGCAGGTGCAGTAACAGTAACAGCAGGCTCAACAGAGGGTATTTGAATATGGCTTGCCGGCCCACTGGGTGATAAAAAGTTCACAATCCAGCCCCATATTAAAAAAGGTTGGATACCCCTGATGTAGCTATATGTAACAATTGAACCATTCCAGAAGTGGCTGAAGAACTCCCCAATAATACCTCTTGATATGAAGTATTGTTTTGGAGCATTTCGCTTCTGGGGCTGGGCTGGGAGGGAAAGCGAGTGGATGGGGGAGGGTAGGAAAATGAGCGGAGGGCCTGCTAGCTGCCCAGCTGCTATATCCCTGCTGGTATCCCTTGCTCCCAGGCCCAGAGCAGGGTTTATCTACCCACCTACCCCTGGCTGCACATGGAGAGACCAGACATACAGATCTGAGACACAGCTAATCCTGTATTCATGACATTTGTCACAGACTGGGTCAGATTCTATTACCTTTACTCACAAAAAAGAACTATGTTGTAAAGTAAGGATACTACCTTGGCATAAATGAGGATGGCAAAAATTTCTGCATATACCTTATTTATCGTACATGTGAAATAACTGATGAATATTTGCACTCAAACAAGGCCACAAAGCATTTCCAGGAATCCTCTCTGTCCCAAGTGGTCTAAGACTGGAGATCCTTCCCATCAGTGGAAGGTTGTCTTTTTGCTAGTTCTCTCTCTCTCTCTCAGAAATTCACCATTATTCAGTAAGCTCAAAAAATAAAAGTCTATGCATCACTTTTGAGCTCTAGTTTGAACACTAAATGGTTCATAGGCTTTGTTCGAGCTCTCTAAACTGGGATGACTATTACAAAGATTGGAATCTAAGGCAAGGGGAAATAACTTCTTCAGATTTTAAGAAGTTGTGTTTTGGTTTTTTGATATAGTTTACTGCAAGTGTTATATGTACTCATTTTGGCCGTATCTCCCTTGTTAATTCCTAGCAATTCTGAGGTGTAAAAAGGTTTGTCTTTGAAATATTTTTGTTTTTTTGCAGCCTGGTTAAGGAAAAAAAGAAAGGATCCACCCACCATTGAGGTAAGAGATGCATTTTTATGAGTTAGAAATCCTATACGAATCCTCATACTATTTGTTATATTGGACTCTTCTGTACAGCTATTTTGAGTAAATCATGTCCAGAAGGTGTATATAGACTTCTTGGTTTTTAGAATCGTATAGTACAATACTACAATGTCAAGGTTTAGGAACAGAAATCAAACACCTGCTTTATTTATGTCTCTTTGCCTTGAATTTATCTGCATTTAAGTAACATTGTGATATCAGGAAAAGTAAGCGTGGCCATTCATTACTTCCTAATTAAGTGAATTTTAAAATTGCTATTGTGAATACATTTTTTTTTAAAGATCGTGTTCTTTATCTGTGTTAATAGGATTTTTTTCATGGCAATTGACATTAAAATGCAGGTTTCAAATCCAGTTGCTAGCATATTCATCAGTACAGCAAAACAAATTGCATTAACATTTTACAATGCTAATGAGATGGGCTTTCTGCAGTCCTGACTCTTTTCATAAGTGGTTTCTAATGGAATAAAGCTGTGAAATATTGCTCACTCTTTCATGCTGACAAATTCATGAAGAATGGAATTTGACTGTTAAGACTTTAAAAAAAAAAAAAAAAATACCAACCCCCCCAACTCCTGATTTTGTGCAAAAGTGTTACTAAAACCAGTAGTTGATTTGTAGCCAAAAATATGGTTTTAATACAGAAATTTTTAAAGCTCAGTCCACCTGCACGTCAGGCAGATTTCAGCTGATTTGGGTCTGGGATGCTGCTTTTCACACACCTTTTCCTCCTGGAATGGTTTGGAGTTGTGTTTTCTCCATCCTAGTTGTTGGAGCACAAGAGAAGTCATCAGCCTGATGGAACCTATCTCTTGTCCCTGAGAAGCTTGCAGGTGTGGTACACCATGCCAGCTCTTTTCTTTCCTTTCTGAAAATATCCCTCTTATGCAACTTGGACATCAGGAATGTTGAGTGCCCATCATATCAATTCTCAGAGATGGACCACTATGTCATTTTGGCTGGGTCAAGCCTGAAACTATACATCTGGAAAAGTAGGTTATTTGGTTATCCATGCTTTCCTGAAGCTGGAGCTATAAAGCTTCTGGTTGCTGAGGCATGGGGATTGTAGCCCTTGCAAGACAGGGAGCAAGGAAACTGCATTTAAGGTTAGTTTGGATCATTACATTCTTAAATAGGTTATACTGTAGAAAAATAATCCTAGGAGAATGAAAGATTATTGGAAGTAATGACACATTCAAAGCCATAGTGTTACTCATACCTTCAGCTTTCTTGTGGTTTCTAAATATGTTCTTGAGACTCTTATAAACTAGGTATTGTACTTGCAGGGCTGTGCAGTGACCTCATCGGAGAAGAAATGATCTACTAGAGGGTCTTAAAGCTATCTCTTTAATCCATAAAATAGTCCTTTTTCCTTTACATAGTACAGGAAACCCCTGCTTAACGCTGCTTCATTTAGTGCAATTTCACTATAACACTTATTTGAAATTGATACCTGATTTCACTTAGTGCTCAGTGAGTTTCATTATAACACTTGCGGTCGCCATCTTGGGTCATCAGATACTTTCAGTTTTGCTTAATGCTTGTTTCACTTAACGCTCAGTTTTTCAGGAACCAGTTAAGAGCACTAAGCGTGGGTTGTCTGTATAAGGGAAACTAATAATACATATATATGGAAAGCTCCCCCAAACAGTGAAAATAACATAACTATTTATGGCATAAACCAAATAGCTGCTGGTATACTAACTTTTCCTATGTTTATTTGAGATGATATGCATTAGGGCTGTGCGAAATGGCTGTTTCGTTGCCATTTCAGATTCGTCCATTTCAGAGGGACAGTGATTCGTTTAGGTGTTTCAGATCACTGTTCCGTTCTGTTTCGATTCGGCTGAATCAATTTCGGAGTTTCAGTGCTGTTATGGTGCTGATTTTGGATTGGCCGGGGAGAGACAGGCACAGCCAGGTGGCTGCAGGTTCTCCCGCAGCTCCTCCGGCTGTTCCTGCCTCTCCCCAGGTGTGGGGAGCTGCAGGAGAAGCCTCCATGGCTGCCCTGGCTGGCCCCATCCCCCAACCAGCCCAACCTTCTGGCACTAAAAAAAAAAAAAAAAAAAAAGCCCTATGCATGCCAGCTGCAGCAGCGGCAATCAGGGCCTCTGAGGGCTCGTGGTAGAGCCCCCACACGGAGCATGGGGCAGTGGAGGGCACCCGCATGACAGCTTCACCATGGTGTGGGTGCAGCCTGGCTCGGCAGGGTGCTGCGCACTATCTGGAAACTGGGGTGGCTCTAGCAGTCACCTGGAACCCAACACCGCTCAGCCCTAGCGGCCCCAGCTCCCAGACAGCGTGCAGTACCCTGCTGAGTCATGCTGCGCCCACACCATGGGGCAGCTGCTGTGTGGGTGCCAGGCAGGGGGGGAATCCCCACTGCCCCCCATTGACCCACGCTGTGCATGGGGGCTCTGCCATGAGCTCGCAGAGGCCCTGATAGCCACTGCTACAGCCGATTGAATGCGGGGCGTGTTTTTGTTTTTTGGTGTTTTTTTAAGTGCCAGGAGGCTACGCTGTGCAGGGCAGCCATGGGGGCTTCTCCCGCAGCTCCTCCGGCTGCGCCTGCTTCTCCCCAGGTGGGGGGAGCCGTGGAAGAAGCCCCCATGGCTGCCCTGCCTGGCCCCATCCCCACCTGGCCCCAGCCTCCCTGCACTTAAAGAAGGCTGCGGGGACTATTCCCAGGGCGACACCTCCAAAACATTCGAAACACCTCCAAAATGAAACAGCTACCAAAGTTTTGCATAGCCCTAATATGCATAATCCACTTGTCCTGATAACAGAATAACTTTTATACAATGATACGCCATATATTGTTGTTATATATTACATCGTTCAGTTTAACTTTTTTCCCATGCATTGTGCCAATTGGAATTGGGATTTTATCTACATTCGTTCCTGGAAGTCTCTGTGTGTGTATGCTGCATTGTCCTTCCTTTTTTGACAATAATGTTGGTGTGGTAACTACTCTTTGACAGCCATAGAACTGGGAAATATATGTGACTGTATTTCACATGAAGATTCATTATACTTCCATTTCATTGTCTCTGTTGTACATCTTTCTTGTGGAGTTAAAGTCTTTCCGAAAAAGGATGTAGAGCCCCACATAAGTTACACTGCTGACTTAATAACATTGTACTCTCACATCACGTTGTGACACTGTATCATCACAAGGTGATATGAACACTGCATATCCTGAGGTACAACCTCTGGAGTTCTTCCTTTGCTTCTGTAGGAGGAAGACTTGTGCTCTGCTAAACCCCTGCCTGCTTCAGCTTTTCTCTTCCTTTTTTTCCCCTTTGATTTTCCTTTCCCCAACCTATAACATCCATTGTATATTCTCAGGGGTGTTGGTTGTAGCCGTGTTAGTCTAAGGACGTAGGTAGACAAGGTTCTTTGGGTAATTGTAATATCTTTTATTAGACCAACTGTGTAATAACTAATGGTGTGCTAGTTCATGGGGATTTTCTTTTTGTATTGCAACAGTTCTTCATGCAGTATCTGGGTGGCTCTTTCTAAAGCACAATCTCTCTCTGGAGGAGTGCTGTTGTTGGGTGAAAGCCCTTTTGAGATTTGGTGGCATCAGAAAGTTCGGCTGTATGTTACAGCTTCCTTGGTGTATTTAGAGTGATTGCTGGTTCTGTGCAGATATGTATGTTGGTCCATGGGTTTCTTGTATATGGTGGTTTATATTTTACCATTGTGGATATTGATCATAGTGTCTAAAAAGGAAATATTGGTGCTGGAGTATTCAAGAGATGGATGGAAGGAAGTTAGTTATTGAATTTTTGATGGAAATCAATTGGAGATTGAAGGTTTTTAGTCTACAGGATGATGATGTCATCTATATATCTTAGGTATAGCATGGGTTTGATGGTGCAGTTCTTGAGGAACTCTTTTTCCAGGTGAGCCAAAAAAAGGTTGGCATATTGTGGAGCCATTTTGGTGCCCATAGCTGTGCCTATAGTGTGTAAGAAGTGTTGGTTATTGAATGTGAAGTTTTTTGTGATGATGAAGTGTATAAATTCAGCAATATGTTTAGGTCTGTACTCTGAGTTGTAATCTTGCTCTTGTAGATATGCAAGGCAGGCTTGGATGCTATCCTGGTGTGACATATTGGTATATAACGAGGGGAGGCAATGTTTTTTGGCCGGGGTGCTAAAAACCCCCACAATGCCTACCTTGGAAGGTGCCGGAGTGCTAGCATGCCAGAAAAACAAAATGAGGGCAGGGGGTACATGGCAAGATGCCCTGCTTGTGCCTCAGCCCTGCTGCCCCTGCCCCCTCAGCCTGAGCTCTGTGGCTGTCGGCAGCTACCCAGAACCTGGGCCAGCTGCAAACATCTGCTGCCTCTCTGCCCCAGCCCCAGCTGCCTCCCAGACCCGGCCCCAGGCTCTGGGGAGGCAGCACATACCAGCAGTGCTCCCCGCTGTGCTGCCCTCGCCACTTCTGCAAAACAGCATTTGGAACCTGGTGCGGCAGGGCACAGCGGGGGGTGCAGAAAGCTGGCTGCTCCCAGCTCCCTGCTGCCCTGCCACACTTGCCCTGTGTGAACGGGAGCAGCGTGGGCAGCACACAGGGTGGGCTGCGCTGCCCTGCTGTCTGCCCCGAGGTGCATGTGCAGTCACTACCAGCCCAGAGCTGATGCCAGAGCTGTGGAGCCCAGCACAGCTGTTTGCAGCCTGTCTGCTGCTCACTGCAGCTGCCCAGAGCCCAGGCTAGCTACAAACAGCTGTGTTGGGCTCCAGAGCCCAGTCACCAGCTCTGTGCCAGGAGTGGGGGAGAGACTGGGGTTGTGCTGCCTCAGGCCCCTCCCCCACCACCTGCTCTGAGGCATGGGTGCACACACCTACCTGTACAGAGTTGATGCTGGGGCTCCTGAGCCCAGCGCAGCTGTTTGGAGCCTCCCGGCTGCAGCCAGCCCTGGCTCTCTGTAGCTGCTGCCAATCATGGAGCCTGGGCTGCTTGCAGCAGGGCTTGCAGCCTCCCAGCCGCCTACTAGGAGCAGCCCGGGCTCCGTTGCTGGCAGCAGCTACCCAGAGCCGGGGCTGGCTGTGGCGTGCCGAGCAAAATGGCCTCACGTGCCATGCTTGGCACACATGCCGGGGGTTGCCGACCCCTGATATATAAGATGATAACATCCAAGTTTTTGTAGAAAGTCTGTTGTGTCTTGGACAAAACTTGGTCTTTGGGTGACAAGAGGTTTTAGGATGGATTTGATGAAACTTGATATTTCCTCAGTTAGGGTTCCATGGTTGGATATTACAGGTCTGCCTGGGTACCCTTGTTTTGTGGGTTCCGCTTCCCCCAGTCTTGCCTGTTTGCCCACCACCTCCCTGTCTCTATCATCTATCTTGCAGACCTAAACTTTTAATCTCTTTATACTATAATTTGTTCAGCTTTAAGGACTTTGTGTACTTATGTTCTTTTTCCTGATTTTTTCTGTTGGCAGTTACTTAAAACAAGACTTCATTTCCCTGGTAAATTGAGACTCAAGAATGTTGCTCATCACATTGCTCCTCAGAATGGTTATGTCTAATCTGACCAATAATGTAAAGAATGCCAGTGGCTGAGAGTCTCGGGTTAGTCAAAGCAGCCCTGTGATACACTGAGCAACAGTTGTTGCCTTTTGATTTTTATTGCAGCTTGAAATATGCTACATCTCATACTCAATTCATTTACAATTATGATTGATAAAACACAGTTTAACTTTGCAAATGAATGCAAATCTTGTTATGTTTGAGATATACTGGTCCCATGGCAATGGATTTAGACTGATTTTTTTGGGACCTTTTTACCATCTATAGATCTGGCCTCAGATATCTAAATCATTGCCTCAACAGCACAATAACATGGGGGGGCGGGGTGTGTGTGTGTGTGTTTCATAGTTTCTAGGGTCGGAAGGGACCTGAGAAGATCATCTAGTCCGACCACTTGCCATGGCAGGAAAGAGTACTGGGGTCAAACGACC